CCCCCCCCCCCCCCTCTTCCAGCAGGACAGACGATGACGCTCGGCCGAGAAGAGGAGGGGACCGGGAGGAAGCAAGCAGGGTGGGAAGGGGTAGGGGCAGCTCAGGTGGTGCCCTGGAAAAACATTTGAAAAGGGGCCGGGGGAGGGGGACCACGCCCTTCCGTCCCGGCCCCGGCCAGGCATGCCCGGCCCGACCGCGCATGAGGCCGCCTGCCGGGCATGCAGTCCCGTCGCGCACCCGCGCCCGCCGGGCCTGCCTACCCACCAGGCGCCCGCCGGGAGGTAGGCAACCCAGGAGGCGACACCACGGCGACGGCGAGAGGGTGCGACACCCGCAGCCCACATAACTTTTCACCAGTGACATCCAGCATCAAATAGGGATTTTATTTTTCAGTCAAAAAAAAAAAATCTCTTATTTTTTTTTTTTGTGACGTTTAATTTTTTTTTTTTCAATTTTTCTGGAAACACTTCAAATTTTACCAAAAACTTTCGGACTTTGAAATAGCTAGCCCAGCCCTACACCGGCGGCGACCAGCGTGTCAACAAAAACACCGAGCAGCAAGGTGTGGTCGTCCGCGTGTGAAAAGGGCAGTGACCCCCCCATCGGCAAGGCGGCCGCGGGCGGGGCCCCTCCCAGGGGAGCTCCTCTCTCTCACTCGCTCTCTCACTCGCTCTCTCATTCTCTCATTCTCTGTTTCTCTCTCGGCCTCGGCCCGCTGCACCGACACGTCGTCCGTGCAGGCCACACCGTCATCTCGTACAAACCGCACCGCGCTGCACCACACAGTCCATAGCCGGGCGCGGCGGTATGAGTGCGTGACACGGGCGTAACCCACGTCCCACGGAAAGAAAAGAGGAAGAAAAATACGAGTCGCCGGCAGGCGACACTTTACTCCACTCAACTCGAAAATTGTTTTTCTTTGCAACAACACACAGCAACACGCGGGCTTTTCATCATGTAGCCTTTTAATTTTGTAATTAATTCTCCTGCGGGCTCTTCTTCTGTTCTAGTATAGTAGTTCGTTTGCTGTCGTTTTGTTTCCGTTTTGTTTTGTTGTTTTGTTCTTTTTCGCGCGCCAAGGGGCGGGGCTCGGCGACATTAATGGGCACGCAAACACGAGAGAGCACAACAGCAGCAGCAGCAGCAGTGCCGTGCCGCTCTCTATGAAACCCGACACGGCAGAGCGCGTGCGACAGAGACAACACGGCACGGGCACGGGCACGGGCACGGGCAGGGCACGCAAAGCCCCTACCCACACCCACCCCTGCTGCACCTGCCGCAGCTGCCGCCGCCGACACGCTCCACTTCACGCCCCCAGCGCAGAGCAGCAGAGGCAGCAGCAGCGGCGGCAGCAGAAGCGGCAGCAGCTGCAGCGGAAGAGGGGAAATAAGGGGGTTCATCTATCTCCCTCCCTCTCTCCCTCCCTCCCCACCTCTGCCACTCACTAAACGCCCCGCCTGTTCAATATGATGCCCATGGAAGCCGGAAAAAAATGGCCCTCCTCCTCCTCCTCCTCCACGCAGGCTGCTGCAGCTGCTTTTGCGCATAAAAAAGAAAAACATATTGAAAAAGTATAAAAGATATTGCGGGCAATGATAATAAAAGTAATCCGAAAGAGAATCCCCCGCATTATCGACCGACCCTCGTCGAAAGTCACTTTAGCCACCCTCCGCCGCTGCCGTTGCTGCTCCTGGCCGACTTTAAGAGAGAATATTTAAGCAGTTTCATCATTTTCACCCCCCCCCCTCCACCCCCACCCCCCAACCACCACCACTTCCTCGTAAAATCCTGCGGCTCGCCGTCATCGTGCGCCGCCCACGCCAAGCGAACGAACGTGTGCTGCGCCGGGCCGGGCCAGTCGGCGGGTGGCACTGCACGCTACTGCATATGATACCCACCCGTTTCCGTAAAAAACAAAGAAACACAGCAAAAGTTACTTTTAAAAACATGTAAAAATAATAAGCAACTATATTGGGAGTAGCACGTTTAGAAAAGACGCCTGCGGCTACATTTTAGACATCATAGAAAAGTCCCACAGCTACTTATCATTCTAAAATGAGAATAATAGTAATTAATCGTTAGTATGTTAAGCTGGGAACCGCAAACGCACGCACGGCTGGTTCGTCTTATTTACTTCACTCACGCTCTGAGCAGCTCCTCACAGCAGCAGTAGCGTAGCGTAGCTAATTAACACGTTTAGTGTTAATTTAGGGCCCGTGTCGAGATCAGACGCACGCAGAGG